ATTACTTATGTACAGAAAAATTGATAAAAATTCCAAAGTCTTTAGCAGAATACTTTGCAAAAAGGCAATTCGAAGCGTTCACATAACGCTTGAAAAGGTTTGGTAAACGAAAAGTAAGGACATAATGCAATCCATGTGTTATCAAAGATGACTTTACAGTGGAGCAAAAGGGGGAGAAACGAGTCTTAGCAGGTAAAAAGTAAGTATTTAGCCTTTATTTTTTTTAGATTAGGAAAAGTTTTAAAAAAAGCAAGTGCCTTACAATGGACCAAGTTTGGAAAGCGTAGACTGCCATAATGGAATATATTAAAGGCTCAGTCAGGATCCAAGCCTTAATAAACAATAAAATAGTAAGACAAATAGCCAGCTTACATGCATATTTTAAATAGCTGTAAAGTAAATCGAATGTTGTTAAATAATGAAACAGAAGACTCAACCAGCATAGCATATAGATCAACCTCAAATTCATTATCAAAGAAAAATTCAATTATGGAAATCCGTTCTTGTAAAGTAGGATGGTACATAGATCAATAAAAGCAAAGCCATGGTTACCAAGAGTGAAGGTATTCAAATTCAAGACTTATGAACCGATAGTGACATACAAGCATAGGGCAAAAGCAAAAATTACATCTGCCGAGCTAGGTATAAACGTATTAACGTATATATAACGTATTAACGATCCGAGAAAACGAAAAATCGTTTACATTTGACCTAATTCGACATGGCATAAGTTGGCGGCATATTTCAAATAAGGCTCTATTAAGTGTGAGGAAGCAAATAAGAGAAAATTTCAAAGCAAGCTCGTTCCAATTGATCAAAAAGCAGATGCTAGATAAAGAAGAGCTCAAGCTTTAAATTATTGTCTTTTCAAAATTTAAATTATTCCAATATAGTTGGCCACTAGGCTGCAACAGATCAAAAAATAAAAACTGAGATAAAATTTGTGAGTATGTGCAGATGATATCAACTTGATAGATTATTTTAAAGCAAAAAGAGCGCGTGTGACGCAGTGGTTCAAAGCGAAAAAAATAATAAATTAACGGCCACCAACATAATAAGTGATAGAGGATGCCTGGAGTATTAGTTGTCCGCTCACTTTGCTAACACGAGGTCCCAATTTATGGGACCTGAAAAGACTTCCTCCTCAAGCCATCTCTCGTAGTTTCGTCGGAACTCGTTGGAGAGTGTCATTGGCTTAGCAAGCACACTCATGAGGTTATAATCTGCAGGACGGAAATCGGGCTCCATCCAATCACCGGAGTATCGACGCTGATTAAATTGGTCAACACTGTTGCGCAGAGAAAGTTCTTCCGTCTGGAACTCCCAAGGCCTAGCATCCACATCTAAAGAAAAAGATTTGCATAAAGATTAAGATGATGGATGAAAATGGATAGAGTGAAATGATTAAATAAAATAAAGTCGAAAACAACTCAAATAAACTTTAGATTCAAATACTAAGAAGGATAGATGGAAAGATAATTCAAAATAAAGGAGAACGATGTAACAATAGATCACCTAAGGTATGAGACTGAAATTTCCCGAAACGTCTTGCCAACTTGAAGTAATAATGCACATATAATCCGAAAATA